GGCCGATACCGATAGGGGGCCGATTATATCGTGCATCCCTAATAGAAATAAACTGAATTGAACTGAAAATTATGTAAAGAAAAAAAACTCATACAGATAAAAAAATGTTTGAACATACAACATTTGTTCTGAAGATATTGAGCTGAATAATTGAGGCCCTTTGATACTCTCATGCTTCTCCTAGGCCTCATAGTTTACTTCCGCCTCTTCTCTGTCTGTCCAGTGTAAGTAAGTGATCCATTTTTAATGACGGTAGCGTTCCTGTAAAAGTACTTACCTCTTGCTTTACAGAAAAAAACTCTTAATAGTTTTTTTCCATTTTTATAATCCAACAAATTAGATGTTTACGTTGTGTTTTTTTAAGGTCTACGAGAAGCCAGAGCTGCAAGTATCTGTTTAGCTTTCTGTAGATAAAATGTTTACTGTCTTCCTAATAACAATTGAAACTTTTCTTTAGTTTCATTTACAGGAAATGCGTTTCAGAAATGAGTTTTACAGATCACTAAGATCTGAAAAATGATTCAGATTTCGATATTATATTAAACACGGAGAAAGGGAAGTGATTTCGCTTACATTGGAAACAACCTAAGAAGTTGCAGGATGGTGTGATCTGTTACTCTGTTTGACAGTGCACTTCCTGTGGTGGGACTTTTTTTGCTTTCATCTTTATGAACTTTAAACAACAACAGAATAGTCCACAGCAAATGTTGCAGACAGCTGTATTAATAACTAATTATTAACATTTTCAGCAAGAAAGGTTTGTAGTTTCTGGGAAGTTGTCATAGAGGTCATTATCCTCTTCTAAATGTGAACAGATCCTGAGTGTCAAAATGCTAGGAGAGTAAGCAAAAAAATGAATATATAAATATTTGTGTTTTTGTCTTTCCTTTAGTTTATGTATTTGTAATCAAGGAACTAAGAGATCCGTTAGCCGGTGGTAAACATAATAGTTGAAGACCTTGAAATGCCTTATCTATCTATTTTGTTCTCTTAAGCTGCTGTCTAAACAAAATGGTAATGAAAGCCACAAAACAGTCCTGCTGCTAGAGCTGTAACTTCTCATCTCTAAAGTCAATAAAAGTTGTTAGGAGGTTGAGTTGGTAGAATTTACCCACATTATGATAACCTTGAGTAAAAATTAAATGATTTGACAGTAACATGACCTGAACTAGGCTGCTCAGTGGAGCAGTGGGTAGCACTGCTGCCTTGCAGGGATCGATTCTCGGCCCGGGGTTTTTCTGCATGGAGTTTGCATGTTCTCCCTGAGTATGCGTGGGTTCTCTCTGGTTACTTTGGCTTCCTCCAAAAGTCCAAAAACATGAATATGAGGTTAATTAGCTTCTCTAAATTCTCCTGCAGGAATGGTTGTCGTGTGTCTCTGTGTTTCCCTGCGATTGACTAGCGACCTGTCCAGGGTCGCCCAGAGATAGGCACCTTGTGACCCCGCTTGCGATAAGCGTGACGGAAAATGGATGGATGGATTTTCTTATCCGATTATTAAAATATGCCTCTAAGGCAGCTAGTAGCTAACCTGACTCCACCAGAGGGATTTGCTCCACATATCCATCTGGAAACCTTCCGTAGAAGTAATTTTGGGAAGGGGCGAAAACACTGGTTAGCTGATTGGCCTATGTTTGTGATAGACGGACCAAATAAACCAATCAGATCAATGAAGCATATGACGTACTAACAGAGCGACGACGAAGAGGAGCCAATTGATAGATCAAACT